AGACAACAGTACATGATCCTTGATCAGATCCTGACTGGGGGTGTGTTGGGGGAGGGGGGACAAGACATCAATGGCACAATCACCAAAAGTTAAATATGGACTCATATCACATAGTCACAAGTGCATCACTGTCCAGCTTCCTGCATGTGATTACTGCACGGAGGTGATACAAAAGAATCTCTGTGCTCCTAGGAGGTGCATGCTGAAGTGCTTAGGGCAGAGCCACATGCAGCTTGCAGAGGGAGAAATGCCTGCCCCTCTGGACACATTGTGCATCAAAGAAGAAAAGCTAATGCAAGCTCCACAGTCAAAACACAGGAGTATATATAAAGCCCTCATTGCCCAATCTGTTCGCAAGCCACTGTCTTTCCTCATATGTCCCAGGACCTCCAGCTGATTGGAAACATTCCTCTCCTTGCACAATTGTGTTAAGCCCGTAAGACAAACAACAGCCCGTCTTTATTAAAATTTTTTATATTTTTGGTCATCGTGGGCTTTTTTCTGTAACATCGAATTTTTTTAAACATTGTGCTAAAATATTTACTTCGATTATAGAGTTTCTGGGTGCCCCCCTTACATTTTTTGCAACACTCGGCCTCAGCTAATCCTGGCCTTGGGGAAGAATCATGACTTCCACAGTTTATTCATGAATGGCTCATTTAAAATTATTTGTACAGGGGCACCTGGGTGGCTCAGTAGGTTAAGTGTCTGACTCTTGATTTCGGCTCTGGTCATGATCTCAGGGTAGTGGATCAAGCTCGCATTGGGCTCTGTGCCCAGTGGGGAGTCTGCTTGAGATTCCTTCTCTCAAAAATAAATCAATCTTTAAAAAAAGGATTGGTATATGTATTCATTATACATGGCTTATATACATATACATTCTACAGGTGTGCGCGTGCACATATACACACGTGTGCTTACACACAGATGAGCAAATGTGGCAAAATGCTAAAAATGGGTGAACTGAGGTAACGAGTATCCAAATGTTCATGGTATTATTCTTGTCATTTTTCTGTAAGCTGGGAAAGTTTCGAAACAACAGCGGTGGGGGAAAATGTACCGGATAAAAATTAAAAATCTGGTGTGCATGTTTTACAGGCTGAAGTGTGACCCATGTGCTCATCCTAGTGCCAACTCGGCTGAAGAAGGGAGATTACTGACCCCGAGCGGAAGCAGCTGCTGGTGGCCATCTGGTATGGGTGAGCTCGGGAGGTCCTCCGACGCCGAGAGTGCCCTTCCCTAGCAAGCTGTTCGTACACTTTTTCCCTCCCTGTGCCAGCCTCAGGCATGCCAAGTCGTCTCTACCACGAGCGCTGTGACTGAGAAAAGTTATCTGTAAACCTCAGGTTTCTCTGATGAGGCGATATTAGAAACATCAGGGAGGAGAATCACTTTGGGAGAAACCGTCCCTTAACAAAGGAGACAGGAAAACCAGAGGTGTTGAATGACATACCTAACCTTTTAAATACTTTAAGGGATGTTGAAAGAGTTGAGGCTTAAGTCTCCAAATAAAACAGGCAAGCTTACTTTTTTTAAAATAACGGCTCAAGGCAGGTGAGGGATACAGTCAGATAAATGATGGATGGGTAGATAGATGAGAGACAGACACAGGGAATAGAGATTGATGTATTACGTGTCTCCTTAGAGAGACACATGGTACACGGATAGGTAATATTGGATATTTGTGTGGTTATGAAAATATTTTTCCCTTAAAGTGATTTATTGTGTAATATTTCCAAGTATTTTTAACTATTATTTTTTTATTTTTTTATTTTTTAAAAGATTTTATTTATTTATTTGACAGAGAGAAAGAGGGAGAGAGAGAGAGAGCACAGGCAGGGGGAGTGGCAGGCAGAGGGAAAAGCAGGCTCCCGGTGGAGCACAGAGCCCGATGCAGGGCTCGAACCCAGGGCCCTGGGATCATGACCCAAGCCGAAGGCAGACGCTTAACCAACTGAGCTACCCAGGTGCCCCAACTATTATTTCAAACAGTTTTCTTAATCGGTAGATACCTCTTCTGAACATCTTCTAAGAACTACTTCAAACATTTAAAAAGATTTATTAAAAAAATGAAGTTCACACTAGTGGTATTTGTAACAGCAAGAAATTAGAAGTAATCTAAGTATTCCAGCAATATGGAAATAGCTAAGGGATAGGATGCAACCATTTAAGAGGATAGATTCGAAGGGTTTGAAACTTAGAAGATCATTCCAGTATGGTTCGGGGGGAAAAACAGGAATCATAACTACTCTTATAACAGGATCATGACGTTAAACCAGGCAAAGAAAGCGAAACAAAACAACAAATGTGACATACTGAAAAAAGTCACAAAAACCTTCACAGTAAAAATAAACTAATACATTTTAGACACATGCCTGAGGAGTTTGTCACAATTCAGTCACCCTGCCAGGGTCTTGCCTAATCACCTTATCTAAAACAGTAGCTCTCGTCATCACACTTTACCTCAGCCTGCTTTATTTTTCTTATCACTTTCCTGACAGGATGATATGTATGTATGTGTTGCTTACTCCCTGTTGCCTCCAGTAACTTATCAGCTTGTCCAGGGCAAGGACCTTGTCTATCTTTTTCATAGGCTTAGTGTCTGGCACATAACAGATGCCAGGTAAAAATGTATTTAATGAATTAATTGGAAAAGTTATCCTAGAGCACTTCAAATATGATTGAAATTGTAGAAAATTACACCATTTGGGGAATAAAACATCCCACATCCTGTGAAAAATGAAATAATCTAGATTAGTATTAAGAACCCCCCAAAGCAAGCAATCTAATATCGTATAAACCAGAAGATTCCATCTGGTGGTCTCATTCTAGCTTGATGGACCATAGGACTCACGGGGAATTTATTTATTTATTTTTTAAAAGATTTTATTTATTGATTTGACAGAGAGAGACACAGCGAGAGAGGGAACACAAGCAGGGGGAGTGGGAGAGGGAGAAGCAGGCTTCCCGCCGAACAGGGAGCCCGATGTGGGGCTCGATCCCCCAACCCTGGGACCATGACCTGAGCCGAAGGCAGACGCTTAATGACTGAGCCACCCAGGCGCCCCTCACAGGGAATTTAAAGACTACCTCATGTCCAATCTCTATATTCATAAATCATAAAACATCGCAACAGCTCCAAGACACGGGGATCTGGACCTGTTCTGCATCCACATCCTTCTGGAATCAGAAGGATCGGTCTGGTAAGTGGTCTCTTGGGACTCAGTTCAGAATTAGAGTGCCCCCCCCTCCACACACATGCGCAAAACACACCTACCAGAGCTGGGAGGTCCATACAAATGATTCGTGAAATCCACGGTCTGCAGTTTCAGAAAGTAGATGGAACAGCAGGATCCTCAAGTTCCTCGGGGCCACAGACGGATGGAATATCCTAGGACATCCTGGGGCTTAACACAGAGCTCAGACATTGACCAAAAAATGCACTCAGGAGAACACTTTGAAGATAGAAAGCCTCCAATTCCCAAATGTTCTATGATACATATTTTAATTACCAAATATCTATGATACATATTTTAATTTATCAGTATTTTCTTTTCAAGTTTCTGCCTTTGATATTAGGCTTAGAAAAGACATTCCCTTTCATGTACATTCATGAACATTTTCTTCCAGTATTTTAGAGCATTTGAAATTTTTTTAACATTTTCAAAAAAACCAAGATTTGTTTTTGGAATGTGATGTTAAATAGGAATTTAAATTAATTTAATCTTTTTTTCCCCAGGTAGTTAACTAATTAACTTATTTGATATTCCAAAGTTGTGAAAATCAGAAAAAGGTCTCGAACAGTACTAACAGAAATATGCTAGCCACATGTATAATTTTAAATTGTATGGTAGTCACATTTAAAAAGTAAAAAGAAGTGGAATTAATTTTAGTGATGAATTTTATTTAACCTAATACATCCAAAATATTATCATTTCAATGTGTAATCAACATCGAAATTATTAATATTTCATGTTTTGTACTGAATCTTCAAAACACGGTATTTTTTTTAATACCACAGCACATCTCAATTCAGCCACATTTCAACTGCTCAACAGCCTAATGGGTCTTGTGGCTCCTGTACCGAATAGCCCAGCTTTAGAGCAATGTTTCTCAATCTCGGCACTACTGACATTTTGGACCTGATTATTCTTTGCTGTGGGGAGCTGCTCTGTGCACAGTAGGATGATTAGCTGCATCTCTGACCTCCACCTACTAGATGTCAGTAGCACCCCTCCCTCAGTTGTGGCAACTAAAAATGTCTCCAAACTTGGCCAAATGTCCCTGGAGCAGGGGGGCAAAATTGTCCCTAGTTGAGAATCAAACAGCTAGAAAAACTGGGGTGGGGGGATATATATTTGGACCAAACTTAGGATCATTTGAGAGAAAATTTTCTTTTTAGAAGCTAATATTACTCTAGTCACTGAACCACGACAGTAGTACTTACAACAATTAAAAGTTTATCCAATTTCCATGTTCCGAATTCACAAAAAAGGAGGAGATAAAGAAAGGCTAGCAGTGGGAAAAGCAGAAGGGGAGGGAATGGAAAAGAAGAAAAAGAGAGGGGGAGGGGAAGGCTGTGTTTTCTATTATAATCATCAGGCTTACTTGGGGCCCAGACTCACAGAAATAATATTGACCCAGCATTGAGCCCATCTCAGTAACTGGCATTAACATGTCAGACAAAAACCCTGAGGCTCTTGACTTTGAAAACAAGCTGATAGATGCTTGGGTTGCAACAAGCATCAAACAGTGCCTGTGGGTTCAGCTAGTTGGGAACGCCCAGTGTTGCTCGAGTCTAGAAGTGTTTACGTCAAGGAACAGCATTTAATATCAGAAGTGATGAGCGATTGACTCCAACTTCTGGGTGAGCTAATCTCTTCCAACATCTCTCTTATCAGCCAGGAACTCGGTAACTGGAAGTCTCTGCTAACTGTGATGTTTTTAATGTATTCAGCATATATATATATGTATGTGTGTATATATAAATAGCAAGGAAATCAAAATTATAGCAGAGGTTTATTCACAGAAGCAAAAAAAGAAAGGGGTAAGGAGGGAGGAACTAAATCAGGAACACATCTTGAATTATGTACACTCATCATAATTTTATTCACCCAGATTTACGTGTCTGCATGATATTCAGAACATTGACCCTTAGATAATTAAAGATCGTGAATCTTCAAACATAGATTATTTTCACTCCCCTTCACAGAAATTTTAAGTTTCTTAACAACAAAAGCTAAAGACAAAAAGGCTCCTGGTTGCCCCTTGGTTAATAAGAGCATTAACCAGGAGTTTCCACTCCTCAAGTGTTCCAGTTCATCGGGGACCTACACTAACTGCCTTAGCTCATTCGAAGATGGTCAGAGTCTACTGGTTGGGCATCTACACTAGGTACCCTAGATACAGCAGGCAACAACCTGCTTATTTCCAAGCATCTTCCCACGGCCAGCTGGGGCTACCGGTATAGCAGGAATCTTTCCAGCAGCTCCGGCAGATGGAGTTCATGGATGGTTTGATGACATGCTCGACCCAAGCACTTCCGAACACACAGGCGGCAGAGCTGGGAAAGAGCAGGTGGGCCTGGGGAAAAAAAAATGTGTGAAGCTCGTGGCAGTGGGGGTGGGGGAGAAGGGGAGACCAGAGCACTGGAAGAGGCTGAAATGTTCTACAAGCTTACGAGAGACTAGATCTCTACATGGATTACAGAGTGATGGAGCAGACATTAAATACACACAGGGACCCCAGTTTGCCCCCCCAGGTGGGGACACATCTAAGTTGACCCTCTAAATGTAATTGTATTAGTGATATTGAAGAGTGAAGCTAACCAGAGGCAAGCCAGGAATGAAGCGTGAGGCCTAAAGGGAATTCACTTCATCTCCACAGTAGCCAAACTATGGAAAGAGCCCAGATGTCCACCGACAGAGAAATGGATAAAGATGTGGTGTATGTATACAACAGAATATTACTCAGTCATCCGAAAGAAGGAAATCTTGCCATTTGCAACGACATGGATGGACTAGAGGGTAATATTATGCTAAGCAAAATAAGTCCATCAGAGAAAGACAAACACCGTATGATTTTACTCATATGTGGAACTTAAGAAACAAAACAGATGAAAATAGGGGAAGGGAAGGAAAAATAAAATAAGACGAAAACAGAGAGAGAGGCAAGCCATGAGACTCTTAACTCTAGGGAACAAACTGAGGGTTGCTGGAGGGGCGGTGGGGGGGGAGAGGGTAAATGGGGGATGGGCATTAAGGAGGGCACAGGATGAAATGAGCACTAGGTGTTGTATGCAACTGATGAATCACTGAAGTCTACCTCTGAAACTAGTAATACACTATGTGTTAATTAAATTGAATTTAAATTAAAAATTTGAAAAATAAATAAAGGGAATGCACTCCATTCATGCACTGTACGTGCCAATGAATGTGATAATACCGGCTGAGAAGAAAACCTTAATGGAACCACTGAGCAGGCAGGAGCCTGAGACAGAGCTGCCAAGCAAGGGCCAACTGCCGAGCGGGTGTTGGGGGTCTGTATGGTCACAGAGGCCTCCTAGACCTCCTGGCTCTAGCTGCTCACGAGGTAGTGCTGGCTGGGTCCCAAGTCCTATTAGGAGGGGCCCTCCATTTGCGCCAGGCTCCCAGCTCAATAGAGGATCTAGAGAGAGGGCCCAAGTCGCTTAACCCCCATTATGCCCGGAACCTCAGTCTCAAGGAGGCTCATAGAATCATCACACCCATGGCAATGAGTGGCTGAAGGAAAGTAAGGGGAGCCAAAATATGGTTGAGTAGGACAAATGAGGTTTGGGCTGGAACACTAGTTATACCGAGGCATTTGTAATGTCCCATTATTCCCTAACCTGACTGTCTCGGTAAAGATCTCTTCAAGTAGACCTGTGTGGTTACTGGACGACACAAGGTTGTTCTTGTCAAGAAAATCCTAATGTAACAGCATCCTACACCCCATGAGAAATGGCACACTACCTATGCAAATAGCCAGGTCACATTTGATTTGATGTTTCCAAGGAGCGTCCATGTGATAGAAAGAGCAAATAATTGCCCTTTCCATTCCATAAGAATGGAAAGCATCTCTACCTGTCACCCAACTAAAGCTCTTCTGGAAAACAGTAATGCAGACGGACTGTCTAGTTGGCCTACAGAAGCTCAGATACCAGAGTGAACTCTGACAGAGCTGGTGTTCATCCTTCTGGAGGAAGCAGCTGTATTTATGACAACAGAAGACAGAAGAACTCGCTTAGAAGAAATCTAAATCAGGGGGCGGAGCAAGATGGCAAAGGAGTAGGAGACCTGGATTTCATCTGGTCCCAGGAATTCAGCTGGATAGGGATCAAACCATTCTGAACACCTATGAACTCAACAGGAGATCGAAGAAAAGAATAGCAACAACTCTCTGAACAGAAAAGCGACCACCTTCTGGAAGGTAGGACGTGCGGAGAAGTGAATCCGAGGCGATATTCGGGAGGATAGACGGCGGGGGAGGGGGCCTCTGTCGGCCGCTTCTGGCAAGTGCTAGAGCCGCAGAGCACAAAATCGGAACTTTTAGAAGTCGGCTCCGCTGAGGGACGTCACTCCAGTGGCTAAGCGGGGGGTGGAAACCTCGCGGGAGAGTGTGGTCTCAGGACCCTCGGGGTCACAGAAAGACCAGGGGTGCCTGAGTGCGGCAGAGCTCCAGCGTATCAGAGCGGGGAAGCCAGCTGCAGAGACAGAGCCGAGGCGTGGGCTTTCACCTCGGGGTTGCCATAAACTGTGATCAGCGACATAGTCAGGCCACTGCTCTTCCAGCAGGGACCCCACAAGTGGCAGATCCGGGGAGACTCCCCTTCCTCCCCCGGGGGGGGGGGGCGGCACAGGAGTGCACTGCAGGGATCTGCTGGATTTGGAGACTCCACACGGGGTCGGGTGCCAGAGATAGAAACGCTCGGTCACAGGCCGGGTGAGCACGGAGTGCGGCCGGAGACCGGGGACACAGGAGTGACTGCTTTTCTCTGGGGGCGCAGTGAGGAGCGGGGCCCCGAGTTCTCAGCTCCTCCGGGTGGAGATTGGGAGGCCACCATTTTCACTGTCGTCCTCCAAAGCTGAACGGAAAGCTTGCAGGGAACGAAAGCTCCTGAGAGCAAAACTGAGCAGCTTGCTTAGCCCGGACCGGCAAGGGCGGGGCAATTCTGCCTCCGGCAAAGACATTTGGGAACCACGGCAACAGGCCCCTCCCCCAGAAGATCAGCA